AGGGAGCATCTCCACAGGGCGCAGACAAGGGCAGCAGGAGCTCCGGGCTGCAGCAACAACACGAGCCAGGCAGCATAGCTCAGCTCCCCCAGCTCCCGCCCAGGAGCAGGTGCGCAGAGCCGGGTTCCTGACGCACGCTCAGTGGCTTTTCTCCATGTGTCCCAGGTACCACGTCTGGACAAAAGGCCATGCACCCACCAACTTCGCCAAGTGGCGGACCGCCACCACGCCTTACCGGGTGGAGTGGGAGGCCGACTTCGAGCCCTATGTTGTGGTGAGGCGGGACTGCCCTGAGTATGACCGCAGGTTCGTGGGCTTCGGCTGGAACAAGGTGGCTCACATCATGGAGCTGGACGCACAGGTGAGGGGAGTGGATGTCCACCTGGGGCAGGGATGGGGGGCTCGCAGATCACGCTGAGGCCTCGGGACCAGAGTTCTGGGAGGACACGGGCTTGGGGAACGGGAAAAGGAGGCAGCTCTGACCCCGGGGGCTGCTGCCTGCGCCCACTGCCCTGCCCTGCCCGAGGGTTTGAGCTGTGCGCCCAGCTAAGCCCGGGGAAATGTGTTTGTGACAGAGCAGATCGGTCCTCGTCCTCGCCCTCCCTCATGCCCAGTCAGCGTCACTCGGCCCCTGCACTGTGGAGAGGACACGGGGCACTTAGGCGGCCACTGAGACGCCACTAGCTGCCCCGCACTTCAGCTGAAGGAGCGGTGACGTTTGGGCTTTGTTGGGCCGCACATCCCTGCTCGCTGTTGGAGCACATCAAAGACGTCTTCTGGGGGAGCTCGGGCTGCGGCCCAGGCCCTGTGAGCCTCTCCGTGAGGTCCAGGTGGTGCCAGGGCTGCCTGGGTCCCTCAGCAGACGGCTGGCCACGCTTGACACTCCATCCACAGTGCCCCCTGGCTGTGGGCCTCACCCCGCATCTCTGCTGTGCTGGCCACGGTCCCAGGAGGTTAGGGACCAGGAGCTGAGAGCCACAGTGCGGGCAGGAGGGGCTCGCATGGGGGCCATCCTGAAGGAAAGGAAGTGTGGCCTTTATGGTCTGTGTTTCC